CGTTCAAGCAAACCACTTCTGAAGATGCAAGCCACTCGTGCTTGCGAAACGTCAGGAAGAAATTCTACCGAACGACGGCCTAAAAACCCGGAAAAATCCATTAGTTTCTTAGGGATAGTTTTAGTTGAAAGCTATTTGTTTTCTCGACGATCTGAACACGTTCAATGTTTGAACTTAGCAATCAAGACAAAATCCTAATTCAAGATCCATTTTCCAGTGATGACCTCCGAACAGCCAATATAATAGTTGACGATCCAGAAGGAGTAACCTGTCTAGTAATCGACAGAGACACGTACCTTCAGCTCATCTCGAACTTGGATGAAGTGAGAACGAAATATGTGGACGACATTGACGATCGTCGACGGTAAGAACTTCGAAAACTTGCTTAAACTCAGTTAAAACCCAGTCCAGAAAATGGCAAAATCAACTTAAAAATAATTACCGTGTATATTTGCATGCTTTCATTGGACAAATCGACTTGCGTAAGTAAAAGCTTGAAGACTGAAATCCTGAAACGCTGTTCTTTGCTGACAAAATAATCGTTTTTCTCAGTCTCAACGAAGAATACTCACCAGTTCGACTGGAAGACCTGAGCATTTTGACCACGTTGGGGGTGGGCGGCTTTGGCAGAGTGGAACTAGTCCAAATTACGGGCCAATCGAACAAGTCGTACGCTTTGAAGCAAATGAAAAAGTCGCAGATTGTGGAGACGCGCCAGCAACAGCACATCATGTCCGAAAAGGAGATTATGGGAGAAGCAAATTGTGATTTTATCGTAAAATTGTACAAAACGTTTAAGGTAAGGAGCGGGCGGCAGGAGTTGGGTGCAGACAAAAATGTCCATGCGTTTCAGGACGCAAAGTATCTCTACATGCTGATGGAAAGCTGTCTGGGCGGCGAACTTTGGACAGTGTTGAGAGACAAGGGCTACTTTGATGACACCACAACTCGATTTTACACCGCATGTGTGGTCCAGGCCTTCGACTACCTTCACTCCAGAAACATTATCTATCGAGACTTAAAGCCCGAGAATTTGCTGCTGGATTCTAAAGGGTAAGTCCCGATATGCAGGTGCAATCAAGGTGGCAGCATGTAAAAGCAAATATGCTTTTTTAT